TTTAGATAAAAAAGATTTAAGAAGTGCACGTGTTCCAGCAGACAGTCAGGCACACAAGGATAAAAATAGCATGTAGATTTAGACGAGTTCTGAAGTTTAGAACAGCCTGGATCTAAAATGAGCGTGGACCAATCGGAAGTCCTGATCTGTTCTACAGCCCTAAAGGAGCTAATGGAGTGTCGAGTGTTTGCAACCTTACTGAAGTGCACATGAAAACTGAGGTAAATTAAACGTGTACTCAGGGCTCAAAGTTATTGGCTGACAGGAAAGGTTTGAAAGTCTTAGATGAATGGATGACGAGTCCCGGCTGAGTACCAGGAGTTCCACATTTAACCTCGGTGGCCCACTCCATCCTGTCTTTGTGCCACCTCCGTCTTCTCCAGCAGTCTTGGCATTTCACGGTCACTGAGACGACCTTAGTTAGTCTTGGCTTCACTTTACACCTGGAAGATTCAGATTCGGACTAAATCCAGAGATGAAGTGAAAAGTTGCAGCTTTGCGTCTCTGTTGCAGCTCTTTTCATGCAGCCCATCAAACCCAGTGTAAAATAATGAGCGGCGTTGCTGCTAACAGCCTCTTTTAGCAGTAGTGACTGATTAGTTATGTATCAATGCAGAAGCCGGTCTGTTTAGTAATCTGTCCATCGGTTATATGAACTATTGCTTGACCCTGAGTTTAGGACACTGAAACTATCCTGAAAGTTAAATCGAGTGCCTCCATTTTTCTCGTCTGTCCTGTACGAGAACCTCCCATCAGCACCAGTATACTTTCATTACTCGTATCAGATCGGCCTCGCCAGACCCTCCGCGATCGTTGTGGCTTGGGATTAGTCTTTGGGGTATTTCCACTCAGTGAGACCCAATTTGTCCTCACCTTTATCCCCTCCATCGACTGAGCGTCTCCAGGCTGCACAAGAGCTGCACTGATCTTCCTCTCCAGCTTCCCGGAGGAGTTAGCCGGGGTGGCAGAGCGCCCGGCAAAGGATTGATCCCCTCTATCGCTCTCTCTTTTTTTTTTTTTCCCTCCATCCGGGAGGGGTGAGCGGGCTCGCCCGAGAGGATTCGATGTTCGTGCATTCAGTCAATAGAGCACTCAGTGACGGCAGCTGCCCCCTGCTGTGCTGTTCAAGATTCAGAGAAGAAGAAGAGAGAGAAAAATGGACAGAAGCAGAACTTAAAACCTGAGCTGGGCCGTCCAGTTTAACTGAACATGGACACAGATGGAAAAAACTGAGCTTAATCAGTGTTTTAGGAGATGTTGGGTTTCCTCAAC